TTTTTTTTTTTTTCCAGAACCGGGGATTGAACTCAGGCCCTTGTGCTTGCCAGGGAAGCACTTATTCCACTGAGCCATCACCCTGGCCCCATCTGTAAAATTATAATATACTTTATCTCATAAGATTATTTTATGGATCAAATGAAGTAGTCTTTGTAAAGGACTTGAGAGTTCACAGTAGAAAACCCAGTTATCACAGCAATGTCTAGCACGGAAAAGTCATTTTTAAAATCATTATGATTAAGTATAGTGTTTGAGGCTAACAAGTATGTGCAATAATTTAAATCTAATTGCCTTTAACAGTTGTCCAAATCCATTAGCTGTTTCTAATTTTATCATAGTCATCAGGTAGAACACAATATACACTACAAACATTTCAGCATGGAATTTTAACTTGCAGATTCTTTTGAATTAAAATTTTTATTTGATTTGTGAGTCTACAAAAGTATATATGCATTAATAAATTAGATGGCAAGTTTAATGCTTTGCTTTATACATAGTGACAGGTACACTGTTAAATCTGTTGTGCAGTTAATGTGGTGGCCACTTGCCACATTAAATAAAGGAATAAAGCTGTAGGTTACTGTAGTTGCATTTCAAGAACTCAAAGCCAAATATGGTGACAATGGTAATGTTAAGTGCATATATTTCTAGTTCAATCATGTATTCTCTTTGAGCTTCTTTTCCTTTAGGTAATAGTTGCCCCAAAACATTTAAAATATTTTCTTAAAATTAAGAGATTTAAAAAGAAATCATAAAAGACATTTCTCAAAGTAGTAACAGATTTTAAAACAGCTCAATTTTCTGATTAAATTACTTTTAAAGTTTTTTTTTTTTAGTATATTTGCTCAAGTGTCATTATTTAATAACTAACCATGAAAAACTTGGATTTTTCATCAAAATTCTATGACATGTAATATTGTGAGTCATTGCTTTCTTTGTCAAGAACATATATAAACTGAAATAAGTAAAAAGGTTTACTATAAGGATCCATTTCTTGACACCACTTTTTATTACCCACCTGTGACTGAAATTTTTCATAAAGGAAAAAATACATTTCAAAGAGTAGAGTAATTTTTTCAGTAAGTTAAAATCACTCCCATGGAATTACATACTCTTAAAATTGGTAAACTATACAATTTCAAGACAAAAAACACTTGAACATATACTTATTTACATCTTGTTTTATATGTGTTTGAGATGTTACAGAAGATTATGCTGGATGGGTTCTTGTCAAACCATGTTACAGGATGCTGTTGAGAACTCATCCAAAGTTTAGGGTTTAGCACTCAGAACCCTGGGATTCCTAGAGGGTTTTGTTTTGCTTTATGTATTGAGCTTCAGCATGCTTCTGAATAGTCTGACCTATTAAAAATATTAGAACACTATAATGAATATTTTTAATATTTATAGTAAATATATAGATTGTCCATTTTATAGTTCGAAGTGGTCAAGTATTCACAAGTTTTAGATCTCTCCTATTGAGAAAAGTTCACCCTGTGACAACAATCTTGTTTCATTTTCCCAGTTTTTGAACCCAGAGGCCTATTTCACAGCAGTGTTGACAGAACCGTTGGTCAGAAAGTTTTTGTTCAAAGAATAGTCATTTCTGTATTATACTTCTGATTTAGTCATCAGTTGCTCAAGATTTCAGATGTTTTGTTTTGCCTGCTTTAATCTACCCTGCCTGTCTCATCAAGAAAACAAAACCAAACCTTTTGGTCTGTTGTAGCTTAATTCTTAAACACTGGTATCACTCTTCCTGGCCTCCACCTTGATCTCTAGTTGTCACTCAGGAACTTTCCAGTTTCTTTTGATTCTGTGCATCTCTTAAACCTCAGCAGCTGCTACATCTACCTGTCCTGGCCTCTGGGCACTAAGCCCTACAGCTGCCTATTCGTTGGGTACAGTTGGACTGAGGTACCTTTAATCCAAAGGAAGGAAGAGCAGGCATCTGGCCTAGCCCCAAATCATTGCTCATGGGATTCCCCACAGGAATGGAGTGCTCTTGTACCTCAATTGCCCCCAGTGTGCCACCACTGTGGTTCCTAGCTGAGCTGAGCAGTAACCTTAAGGAGGTAGGAAGATACAAAATGGGAAATGCAGGAATGGGAAAAAGCAGGGAGGATTAGTGCTTCCAACACAGTCCTACCAATTGCTTGCTGTGGGCAACTAGCTTTTTTTCTTTTTTAAAAAGTCTTGAACAAGGTACCCTCTAGTTTAAGAAAATTATGTTTACCAGACAAACTTTGTCACAGTAGACTCCTGTTCAGATACCTTTGTGCCCAACTGTGACTGGTGTACTTATACTCTTTAAGTTTCTTGAAGGTCTTTTGTTGAAAGTCACAATTATAGAAAAAAAGCCTTTTACCTGAAGTTTCTTTGTTTAAGGATGGAGAAAATTATTGAAGGATTATTTCCTCCAAAGTGGCAAAGAGGGCAATGACATTAGTGTTATTGGTAGATCTTTAATTTTGTAATTAATATAAAGCCATAATGCTGTGAAATCTCAGAATTTTGAGTTTGTGAAAACATTGCACTTATGAGTGGACATTTTTATTTTGTTTTTGGAAAATCTTGAAAACAATTAAAAGAATATTGAATTAGGTGGTATATTCACCTTACAATCAGCCAAGTTTTGTAGTGAGAAACTCCTAAGTTATCTTTCATTTCAACATTTATATTAAAATTACATATTTAAAGACAAACTTATAACTTCCATATAGATCTACTTCTCTACTGCATACTTTACAAAAAACATTTTTTAAGATCAAAGGATACAATTACATGTCGATCAGACGGATTTCTTTGACGCGTTCTTTCTAACTGAGTTAACTGCTTAGCTTCTCGATTCCTTGCTGTTAACGCCGCTTTTAGATCATCCTGCAAATGCATTTTTTTTTTTTTTTTTGTCAATAAAGGTTTCTGATTTAAGAGACCATAACTATTTGAAGGATGGAAGAAAGCTGCTTGTTTGGTTCAGGATACCATTATCACAAGAATTATGAGTGCTGCAGGGTTAATGTGTGTCCATGTTAAAAATACTCTCTCCGAATGACACAATTCAATGCAAAACTGTAAAGATGTGTTTGATTTTGATTGTGGTAGTTGTCAAAACTCAACACTTAATAATAGCTGCATTTTACTGCATGTGAATTATACGTCAATAAAGTTGATTTTAAAAATAGAACTTTGGCACATTGATAAGGTACGTGTCATCTGCTTTAAACCATATATAAAACTACATTCATTTGGTAAAACACTTTTGTCTGTGTATTCTTTAACTTTATTGAATATTTTTAAATTTCTAAAAAAATCCTGTCATAGCATGTTTAATAGCATTTTATATTAGTACATTAAAACTTTCACTTTTAAACAACAGAAATTATCTTTTGCAGTATGTAAATGAACGCATTACTTTGTATTTTTTAACTAAAAGGGTAGTTTGAAACCACATACTCTTTGCCATTGACTGACTTACCCTTTTCAATTTTACAATTGCTCCATAAGCTTTCAAAGGTTCAACCACTTTGGCTTCAAGTCTTTCAACCTATTGAAAATTATTATAAAATATAACTGAAAAGAAACATAGAGATATAAAAATTTAAGCACTGAAACAAAACCTATGCTGTTTAAACCTGAAATAATGACAGTATAGATTAGTATTTAAAATTAAAATGCCATCGTTTTAACTTCTTAAGTAAGAGACTAATGACCAGAACTTTCTAAACTTCAATACATTGGACCGTGTTAGGTAATAACAGAAAACAAAGAAGAGCAGTCGGCGCACAGGATGACAGTGGGGTCTGCAGGGTGCATCCTTGCCGCACAGTGCTTTTTAAATTTTTTTTACCTTAACAATTAAGACATCACAAATTGTAATACAGCTATCATGTTCAGTGTGTTTAGTGGATACTTTAAAAAATTTTCTGAACTGTAATGTAATAGTCCAACTTTCCTGAAAGTGAAGCTGAAAAATATAGCACACTGGAAACATTTTTTAAAAAGCCCTCAAGAGCAAGGAAGTATAGACATTACTGTATTTACTGCAGTCTTTTTTTCTGAAAACCATTTAAATCACCAAGGATACAGAACAAGATAAATTGTCTTAAAGTTTTAACTTAGAATTGAAATGTTTCTTACAGTTCTTAAAACCATTTTACTAATTCTTTTACTAATAATGCTAATAGCACTAAAAATAGTTTTTGAAAACAGGCAAATATGTGTATAAATACAGAATAACAATGTAGACATTTTTCTGTCAGGACAGGTAATACAAACGGCATATACTTCTTTAATTCTTTAAAATGGACATGTATTAGTTTTACAGCAGGAAAAGTTTTGAAAGGATCCATGCTAATCAGTAATTTTATTTTTTTACAAAACCTGAGTTTTTCATGTTAAAAGATTTTGGGAAAATGAAAATCAAGTTCCCATCAAGTATTTAAATATTAGAAATCATAAAATCAAAGCAGTGAATATTCAGGATAGTACTTCTGATAATCCATGTACTTGCCTAAGGACTCTTCAGGCGCCCCCCTCCCCCCCCCAGTTCTTGTCGCCTACCTTTCGTCATTGTTCATTAGCATCTCCACCATTTGGTAAGCAACGGAAATAAAAGGAGAACAAATGCAAATCAATTCACTTTGCTCTTTGATAAGTTTTTTAGAAAGGGTAAATTACTGGCTAAAAGGAGATTTCAGAAGTGTCTGTGAATATAAATTAGTTCTGAAACAGCATGCCCAGGTACTGTGTATATGGAGAATTTCTTATCACAATGTATGAGAACGCAGCATTTTCCCAAAACAGCTCTTAAAATGAATTTTTGTTTCCCAAAACATTCTAAATGTGGTTGCTACTCATATGTTTTATAGGCATGGCAATGATGTTTGGCTTTTTTGATAATTTCTGCTTTAGGCTGTAAGAAAGAACCAATGAAAGATAAGCACACTGATGAGAAAAGTAAAAAAGCAAGGGAGTTCTAACTGGGCAGAGTCTAACAAGTTAACCTTTGTCTTGAAACAAAATAGCAAAAGTGCTTATGAAATATTAAAGAAAATAAAGGACTTTTAGAAAGCAGTTACAAGAAAAGTATCCAGTCACTCAAAGCAAAAAACAAAATGCAACCCTTCACAGTGTTTCACTAATGGTTTACATCTACAGCACGGAAGCATCCATAATCTAGCCCACTTACTAATTTGTTCTCTTATATTGGCGTTCTCCATATTCTTCATCTCTAGCAATACCTTAAAATGTACTTACAAAACTCAAGTGCAAAACCATTTTGCAAAAGTTGGCAAATGAAGTGGGTAAATTCAAGATTTCGTAGACACCCTAAAGTTTTTGAAAATGGCAAGATACATCATAGAATATTTCCTTTAAATGGATTCACATGATGTTACAAACATCAAAGTGTATGTTTTTCATCAATGTGCGTTGGCCACTGCAGTTAGGTAGATTACAATGAAAATCTTCATGAAGCCTTAATCGACCACTTCCTGGGTCATTCTTAACAATGACGCTGTGACCTCCGTACCTCTGCCTGTCGATAATCCTGAAGTTTGGCAAACTCATCAGCAAAGTTTTTCAGGCCTTGCTTTAAATTTGGGGTCTCCGTAGAGGCATACATATTGATTTCATTCACCAGGAGGTCTGCTTTGTCTCGCAGTCTGGCAGTTTTCCTCACATAAGCAGCAAAGATTTGGCACAGTTCCCCAAAATGCTTCTCCACATTTGTGACAGCATCTTGCAGTTGTCTGGTTTGAGCGTCCCTAGAGAAAAAAGGTGACATAAAACGCGAAACATTCTCCTTGGGGATGAGATGCTTCTCGTTAATTTGATAATGCAAACATTCTCGGGCCGCCGCCCCCACAGCACTGCCAGCGTCTCCCGGAATCCCATCGGGCCCTGGCCTCCCTGCCTGGACCGTGTAGGCCCCAGACGGGCCCGGCAAGGGCGCCGGCTGCCTGCCAGGCTTCTCTCCAGCAGGCCAGATCGCTGCCGCGAGGAGCGAGTAGGTGGCAGAGGGGCGCGGGCCCCTCCGGCCTCTTGCTCCCTGCAGCCAGGAGCTCGGCCGGGAGGGCGCTGGGGACCACGCCAGCGCGAATCCCCAGCCCCCACCCAGAGGAACCCTTCCCCCACGCCAGGTCCCGGTAGGTGCGGCCCTGGGCAGTCAGGCCCCGGGGTGTTACCGGCTTTCCAGGGTGCGCCTTAACATCTTGCCTCGCAAATGGCCTGGAGTCCAACGGCTGGGGCTCCGAGGCACCCGGCGCGCGCAGAGCGCGACCCACCGCGCACGCCCGAGAGCCCGCCCCGTGCGCGCCGCCGCGCCAGCCCCGCGTTTCCATGGGAACGCGGCGCGACCCCGCGGTCCAGGTCGGAGGGTGCTGGAGCCCGGCTGGGCTGCGACAGGCCGACTCGAGAGGGACCGCGAGGTGCGACGACGAGAGCCTGCCTGAGAGGAGGACGGGGCCCTGGGCCTTGTGTCCCGCAGAAGCGCTGCGGGCACCAAAGCCCCTGCGGGCTATGCCTTTCGGGAGCTGGGAGCAGAGGAAGAAACTGCTTCACCCGCCATCAGGAGGATCTAGGCTAGGCTTGTCCACTGGCTCGCTCCAGTGCTTCTCGACGTCGAATCTGAAAATGTGGACAGATATTTAGTTCCTCCTTGGAGGACATGATTGTGTTAGACCCCGGGAATCAGAAAGGAGGGCCCGAGAGTCTGATGAGACACCGTGCTTCAGACGTCACAATATACTGAGGAAAGGATCCCCAGATTTTCCTCCGAACACCCATGTGCTCTCGCAACCCTTAGAATTTTGGTGAGCTTTTCTTCAAAGTAAACCGGGTCTAAATTCAAGCTTTCTATGGTCTCCTTCAGGCAACCTAGGTACATTTCATTTGAAGTACACTGTTGTCTTGGTTCCATCTCCTGGAATTCTTTCAGATAAAGGAAACATGATTTTGGCATAAGCTTCGATGGAAAGTCATTTCGCATAGATGGAAGTTCTTGGTCCTTGTTACCTCTTTTAAAGCTTCCCTTCTTCCCTTGAGTTACCTACGGTAGGCGTGATGCCTGATGCCTGTCTCTGCATCCCTGCATTCCTTCAGCAAACCGTCTGTGGAACTTCTGGGCTTCCACAGGCTTTGAGGACTAAGAGATAACCGCATCAGAAGAGCCTCCGCTCTTATAGAGCTCTTAGTCTGGGAGGAGGAATAGATGTGAATCAAATAAATAGATACAAAATTGCAACGGAGGTACGTGCTACTGAATCAATTCTTACTGTGCAACATATCAGCTCTAAACTTAGTGGTTTAGCAAACCCCTTGTCTAGCTCAGGATTCTGTAAGCGGGCTGGTATTTCTTTGATTCTATTCAGTGGTCTTTGTTTCCATCTTTCCTAATCAACTGGTGGGTCTGTCTGCTGGAGGATGGATGATTTTGGGTGGTGCTATGGCTTGGATATGTTTTGAGTGTATCCCCCAAGGGCTTGGTCCTCAGTGTGGAGATGGGAAGCAGTGGAACTTTAAGAGGTGGCTCCCCTGGGAAGGACTTGTGTCACTGGAGGAACTGCCCCTAGCCAGGATAGGGGGTATGTTATGGAAGCCTGGTTGGCTGGCCCCAGAGAGTCCTCACAACAGCCTGCATCAGGCCCTAGCCAGAGGTGGTCTTTTCTTTGCACACATGCAGCTGTCCTGGGCAGCATGGGTCATGAAGTCTCCAGAGATAAGCCAGCACTGGCACCGTGCCCTTGAATCCCTGAACTATGAACTCAGTAAACCTCTGTTTTTTAATAGCCTGTCTCGTGTTTCATTTTAGTAATGTGAACAGATTAATACATGTGGCTTCACTTACACATCTTGGGATAGGCTGCCTGAAAGTGGGGACAATGTGTTTCTCATTTTCCAGAACAGCTAGCTTCCTCATGTGGTTTCCAAGTTCTGAGACAGCAAGACAAGACAAGTCCCTCTGCAGAAATGCCTTTCAAGTCTCTCCCAGCAGCATGTTTACCAATATCCTATTGGATGATACAAGTCACATGGCTCAGACCAGCTGTAGTGAGTGGGCGCTCCACTTGTTAAGGGCAAGAGTGGGTGGTAAAGGGAGAATTAGTGGCTACTTTGGCAGTGTAAGGGAAACTACAAGGCCCCACGAGAAAACGTACTTAAAACAGAGATTTGGTTTGAACCAGCTAAGGAAAGACTTCATTGAGAAAGTGAATTTTGGTCTAAGATCTAAGAATGTGAAGAGGAATTAACTAGGTAGCAAGGTGGTTACAGTCAGTCTAGGAAGGAGGATAGCATAGGCAAATTGCCTTCTTCCCCCTTAACCCTATTTTTGTCTCAATACAAATTCCACGTTTTTAAAAACAGCAGTAGGCTGTGGTTGATTATTCAAGTAAAATCCTAAGGTTTTTGTTTTTTTTTTTCTATAGTCATGCTGGAAGTTCCTATCTGTTCCATCTTCAAAACATAGCCTGAATCACTCCTTCCTTTTTTGTATACCCCTGTGATCAAGTCATCACTACCGTCACCCTACTGTGGTGCCACTACCCATCAGTCTCCCCATACGGGATGTTATATACTGTAGTACATAAGCAAACTCAGAGCATGTCAACCTCCAAAGCTCTTAGTGCACTTAAAATCAATCTTTTATTATTATTCTGGCTATGAAGGCTCTATCTCTTTCCTGTTGCCTACCTATCTTCTCTTGCTGAGCTACTGTGGTGCCACACTGGCTTCCTGCTCCTAGCACAAGCTTCTCAGAGTCAGCATTGTGTTTGTCATTCTCTCTACCTCCATTGTTTCTTCTTCGGTCCTAATAGGTCTTTTCCATATAGTAGTGTGCTTTAAAGACACAGAGTGAAGCTTTCACTGATCACCAACCTACTATTTTATTTCTCAGTTTCTCTGGAAGTGTATACCACTCTCTGAAATTCATTTGTTTATACACTCTTTCTGTTTCCCATGACGAGAGTATGTTTTCATGGAATGAGGTACTTTTCTCCTGTTGTTATATTCCTACTACTACCACAGTGCTATATCCACAGTAAGAACTCAATAATTATTTGCACTTATCAATGAATAAGTGAGTGAGTGAGTAGAAGCCCCCTGACAGCGGTAGCCTCTTGTGTGTGAAGAGAGGGAAGAAGCCAGTGAGATTGGAGTGGAGGGGTGGCCATGTTGTTGGAATGGTAACAAGGAGTCAGGTCATGTAGGGTATTTAGGCCATGCTGAGAAGTTTGGAATTTGCTTCTTGTATGAGAGGGTTGTAGAAAAAAAGAACTCTGTGTGTGTGTGTGTGTGTGTGTGTGTGTGTGTGTGTTTGCATGTGTATGTGTGCTTGTGTGCAAGGGAGAGTGTTATAGTATAAGCAGTTGACTCAAGTAGTTATGGAGGGCTGGGGAGATAGCTCAGTAGAATAAGCACTTGCCTGGCAAGTACAAGGTCCTG